TAAAATACTAGATTAATCTCACAAAGTTAGCTATCAAAGAAATCTTAAATTATTTTATAGTAACGTGAAAAGGATGATTAGTATCATTGTTGAACTGTTAAAAGATTATATTAGTGTAGATAGTTCTCTGTCTAGCAAGAGGGTTAGGATCAAAAAAATTATCAAAAAATAATATGTATTATAGGTTAGGTCCTGAATATTTGTATTTATTTTTTGCATATAATGATAAAAAATATTTCTTGGCAAAAACCATTCTCTTGAAAAATGATTAGCTGAAATAACCTATATATTTTACTTAACTGTTTTTATATATACTAACAAACTTTGAATATTTTCATTCTTATATAAAATTTATCAATATCAAACACTCAATCTAATGATTCATTAAGGGAATTAAATACTAAGCTTTTAGCTGAGATTGGTGAACTTAGAAAGAAGTTTGCTGAGATTAAAGTTAAAAATAATGAACTTAAGGATAAGAATACTGAGATCCTTGAAATTAGAAGAAAGTTCATTGAGATTGAGACTGAGAGAACTGAACTTAAAGCTAAGATTTCTGAATTTTTAAAATAAAGTGTGGAAGAGAACAAGAGGCATGATACTGAGAATGCTGAGCTTAAGATTAGAATCAAGAAGTTGAAGAAAAACAAAGCAGATTCTTTAGCTGAGAATGTTAGGTATAATGTTGAGATTACTGAGATTAAGGTTGAAATAGTAAAACTAAGAGACAATAACAAAGAAAATAAAGAGCTAACCTTCCTTCAATCAGATAATATTTCTAAGGAAATGGTTTCAGAAAATGGGCAAACAATAATACTATAGATTTGAACACTAACACAATAAATTCAAATACTAGCAAAGCACCTTTTAGCAATATTCAGGTATCTGATTCTGTAGTAGACTAGCTAAATAATGAAGTAAGATAAATAGTTACCTCTGGTGATATACCTAGTAATAATACTAATACTGAGTCATTAAAAGATAAGAAAATGGATGATTTTTTAGATGAGATGCATAAGAAAAAGATTAGTAATGAGATTAGAGTGAGAAAGTGAGAAGAGAAACTTCATTATGAATTGATTGCTTAGAACTCACTTATTTCTCGCAATATAAAACTATTTCCTCAGGAAATAATCAAAGTCATGTAACTTTGAAAACTGAAATATCTGTAAAGCAAAATAATAATATGATTCCAGAGGAATCGCTTGATAAAAATCAAATTGTAGAATAAGACCTAATACATGAATTATATTCATTCATATTATCTGAAAATAATATTAGCTCTATCAAACTATTAGCTCTTATATTAGTTTAGAGAATTTGATTTTGAGTTCTGCCTAACATTTATCTTATTTATTTGAAACAGCAATAAAATCCAATTAGCAGGAAATATTAGACTGGTACAATTATTCCTTTAAATTTGAGAGCAAGGTTGATGCTCTTATGGCTGATGATAAAATTAAGGATAAAATAGCAAGATTAATGATTTACAAGGAAATAAAACCATTTTTTTCTACTAAAATCATACAAGCTAACTTGCGTAAGAAAACTCATAGGGCTAGGAAACATCTTATGTTATTTGGAAAAAATAGGATTGAACTAGATAAAATTAAACTAGTCTTATATAGCGCAACTGAGATTTTAAAACTGACTAATACACAAATCTAAAATGTTATAGATCAAGTAAAAAAATATACTAGTGATCATTAGAATCATATGACTTTAATAAAAACTATTCCTTTAAGGAATAATCAGATTAAGGCTGAGGTAAGTACATCAGCAAATGTATTATCTGTATCTTCCTCCAGTTAATCTAAGCTAACTTATAATCAATCCTATTTTTACAACAAGACATTAGATCAATATTCTAATTTATATAGAGAATTCAGTAGCAAAAATTTTAATTATTATGGAGTTACTGATAAAATATCATGCCTATTATGCAAGTTATGCATGATGATGAGGAAAGCATAGAAGATACATATAAAGCTGGATCTTATTTTATTAAATGTAATAGCATGAAATTGAAATAGTTGCATAATCAGATCACTTTGTGACTATATTTACTAACTGATGCTTTATTATGTGATATTTTTTACACATATCAACTATTACCTAATTAGATTAATTTGCAATTATAAAAAAAGACAACTTGATCAAGTCTGATAAAATATTAACTTCCAAATATCTGGATTGGTATGTCAAATTAAGTGGATTATCAAGCATTTTAATGGATAAGATTCAGTTCAGCTTATACAAAAAATATAAAAAAGAAACTGGGTATAAGTCATGACAATTATCAGAAGGTCATCATCTTATAAATTTAAAGCCAGAAAAAAGGGTCTATTATTTTTAAAGTCAAACCTGATCCAGAATTAATTATCAAATCCATTTTAGAGCATTTCTCATACTTGAAATTCTAAAATAGTTTTAGAGGGATTAATAATTATAATTTTATATCACTTCAGCTGTAGAGTTTACTATATTCTATTTGTAATAGAAAACATGGGAATTATAGATTACATGATGAATAGTATAAAACAGAATATTGTCTTACTTGCTTCACTTTAAGTAATAAATTCAAATTAACAGTTATAGTATAATTCAATATTATTCACCTAACACAGTATATATCGAAAAAATTTTTTTCTTTCTTAATAGTTAGGCTATCTCTTACAATGCTAAAGGTATAAAAGAGAAAATACATGTGTAGTGATCACATTCTGTGTCTTATAATGAGATGAGCCTGAACAAGCTTGTACAGACATTACTATAAGAAAATTAAACTAGTTATATGCATTGTGTCTGGCTATTTCAGGAGATAAATTTAATCTGACGTTTATATATATATATATATATACATAAAAAATATTAACTGAATGCTAATCCTACTTCTGCATAATTTTAACAAGTTCAGGTATGGTGTTTAAACTCTATTTCTTGTAGATCATATTTCTATTAGTTGGAAGTATGAAGAATTTTTATGATTATCATATGATACAGGTGACTACTTTTTTTTCAGAAAAATTTTGGTCAGAATTTTGACTTTATTAATATATCATGCCAAATTTCTTACCAAACAATCAGGATAATAAAGCTTATAAGAAACTGAAAGACCAGAACTAGTTTGAAAAATGGCATATATTTAGGGAATAAAAGCATGGTTATAAGATTTGTAAAGAATGCAATCATCACTCATATCTGTATTACAAAAAGTATAAGAAGGTGGTGGAAGAAATTTATAAGCGATGTGAATGTTCTTAAGTAATTTGATCAATAAAGCAATGATGCAAATTTACCAGACATTTTATAATTTTTTTACATGAAATAAATGATAGGATTGTGTGAAGCAAAGTGTGTACTATTATTTTTTGATCAAGTTTATTGTAGCTTGATCAATAAATACACAGTTATATTATAGTAATTATTACATATATCACAGGAATAAGTAATTGCACAAAATAATTTATTTTTAAACTTTCTTGCACATTCTCAAATTATATATAGCCCCTTGATGATCTTTACATATGAATTATGAATAGCATTAAATTTTTTTATTGTTAAATTAAGGAAAAGCTGTTAATCAGATTTTCATGATGTGATCATATTAACATAATTTTCTAAAGGTATATAACAAAGTGAATCCTAAGAATTATATAAAAAGGCAATGTTCCAATTAGTGATTCCTTTTATCTGTCTTGTATAAGTAAAATAAAAAAATCAAGTGAAATAATCAAACTTATTATTATTTATATCATCAAAATCATTAATCAAATGAATAAGCAATACAAGTAAGTTTAATTTTCATTCAGCTAGCTTCTTGAAATATGTTATCACAATGTTAATCAATTTTTCTGCCTATATAGATGTTTCAAAATAAAATGGTCATATTACTCTTTTTGTTATATATTGGCATTTTGATCTTTGTTAAGAAATCTTTATGTATACAATAGATATAGTGAAACTATTTACATGAATCTCATCACATACACTTCTTAATAAAATTTGGTGCAGTGTGTTTAATAAATTTTCAAATAATAAACATCTTCACGTACTGAATTAGCGTAGTATCATACTAGCAATAAAAAAATCAAATTACCTTTATTGTAATATATTAAGCAATAAATTTCTTAAATATGAAGCAGAGTGAAAAATTTTAAAAATAATAGTAATGGTAAGTGTATATTACATTACCTTATTTTTTATCTCAATTGCTAATCCCTAATTTATGCTGTAAATTCAAAATTACCTAATCTCAGAGAAGTTTTTTTATAGGGAATATTATTTTATATTATTTATGTGTAAGAGGTAATATAGATATGCAAATATTTGTTTAGGATAATTTATTTTAAAAATCTAATGTAGAAAAATAGTATTGGTGTAAAAATCTTGTAATTAGTAATAGTGATAGGAAAAAATAATTAATATAGAAATTTACAATTGAGCAAAGAAATAACTTGATACTAAAACTCGTATTAAATGGTTTAGTATTCGCATACTTTCTTTCTCTTTAATAGTATCAGAAAAAATTATATGTACAATATATATGTATAATCAAAATATTTCACTATAACTCAATTTTTTAATGATATTAGGTAGGATTAGATGATTTGATTTATCAACTGATAATTTTGGACTTACAAAACGTGTTCTTAACTAATAATTAATAAAGTTTAACAAAGTTAAAACATGTTCAAATAATAAAATTTATTTCAAATCATATATATAATTAATAAGTCTAATATAAATTTCTTCAGAAAATTGTTCATTCTATTATTTTTTTTCAAACCTAAAACATATATATCCTTAATAATATGTCTAATATTTATGAAATAATTGATAGTCTTGATCTCAAATAAGCAGAAGTGAATAAACTAAAAATTTATCTAATCAAAAATCGTGAAATAAAAGAAGAATTATTTTCAGCCCTTATAAGCTCCTATCAAACAAAAGAAGTTTAACAAAATCTTTTAAAAGATTTTCTTAAAACTATACCTGGTATGTTAGCATGTTATAATATTTGTGATGCTAAAACAACTTTTTTTGTTCTTATATTAACTTCTTTTGACAATTATCGCAAATCCACAGAGTTAAATGAATTTAACAAAAAGCAAAAATTAAGTAAGCTCTTGCAAAGTGTAAAATGAGTCCCAGAATCTGTAACTAATGACTTTTCATATTATTACATCACCTATCAGACTTGTTGTTTGAGAGTATTTATAATATAGTAAAAAGCCAGAAGGATCAACTTTTTGAAATACAACAAGATCAATAAAAAAAATAATGTTATTGAATATAATGAGGAGCTTGCAGTGATTAAAAAGAAAGTACTTTATGTAAAAAAATCATATAAGTATTTTTATGATCAACTGAAAAAAAAATCAGATTACAGTTTAAAGAAATTTCTTATTACTGGTATATTAGATATCAGAAAATTATATTTTCTAGTTTATGTCTTAATGTAACTTTTATGCAAAGATATCATTGTAATTTTTCAGCCTCTCAATAGTCAAGATTTCTATTATTTTAAGGATCAAACAATAACCTGTGAAATATATAATGATTTCGAATTTTTATTCAATTTAATTATAACTTGATACCTTGCAGATGATATTACATTCCCAAAATTAGTATATAGAATAACAGTTGTCTTCCTATTATTAAATGAAATTGCAAAAACTGAATTTCAAGAATTTGATAAGCTTTATCCAATTGAATATTATATAGGTCCGTAAACATTAAAAAAATTATTATATTGTCAGAAACATATTTTTTCACTAGTGTTAAAAGAAATAGTTACTAATCTTTTCCATAAAGCAAGTGGGTACCTAGATACGTTCTTCAGAATATTGAGATGTCAATAAAAGATATTGTTAAAAATAAAGAAGAAACACTAAATGCTGAAGAAAAAGAAAAAATTGAGAAAAAAGCTTATAGTCGTATTGAATTAGCCATTTTAAAGACTGATAACTTCAATAAGATTATTAAATGTTTTATTGAAGATGAAAAAGTCATGTTAAAATTAGCAATTAAATTATTCACAGATGGTCAGATGACATATATCACAATTATCACTATAAGTGGACCTCTCTTTATGTGTTTAAGAGAATTTAGAAAAAATTAGAAGAGATAGCACGAGTTGATTATTTACATAAAATATGATTTATGCAAAGTTCTTATGAGGCTAGCGCAAAGGAATTTTATTTAAGTATTATGTAATCCACCTATTTCATACTGAAAATCAAAAATTTGAAGTAAGAAAGCTGATAGGTGAAGAAAAATTTCAATTTTTTATATATTATAAGCCAGAAGCTGGGTTTGTAAAAAATTTATCTGATCTCTTAAAGTATTTTAGAGAAAACATAGTTATTGTATTAGATAAACAAAATTTTAATGCAGTAGACTTATTTGTAACACCTAATTATATTTTTCAAGTCACAGTATCAGAATATCATCCTATAAAACAAGTTGAGCTGACAAAAGTAATCACAAACATATCAGTCTATATTAGTGATCAAAATGCTAAGATTCAACTTTACTTCGTAGTTCTGAATAATATATACAATAAATTTAAACATCAAAGTTATACAACTTAAGATAAAAATTCTAATGAAAATCGACCAGTCTTGAGAATGAATGCTGCCATTAAAAATGTCAAGTAATGGACTTTAAAAGTACAAATCAATCTGATTTTAGAATAATAATAGTTTTATATAAAAATAAATAGAAAAATTTTCTTGTATTATATAGCTTTTACAATGTTAGAGAAAATTTAATAAATAATTTTGCTTTTGTTTGAAGAATAAAAGATTTACTCTGTGAAATGTATAAGTTTTGACTTTATTGAGTAAAAATTTACTGAATGCTTTGCGGAAGAGAACAAAATAACATGAATTAGTGAGATCTATTTTAACTCAATTTTGTATTTACTACGTCATATTACTACACAATTAGTAGACACACGTGTCTAAAATTTTCATTTTTGTGTAGTTAAGCATATATAAAAAATAATAGTTAACTCTTTATTCTTTTTTAACTTCATCTGCGAAATTGATATATGATTTTATATAAATTAATCTATAATGACAATAAAAAATTCCTCCCTGATATGCCTACTATATTTTTTCTAAATCTGATTAACTGATCATCTCGTAATTTATAGAAATTTGCTAACTTCTGGAACTTTCCTAAAACTATTGAGGAACTGGCAGGAATTTAAGGAGATCATATGTGATACAAATTTAGCTAAAAGCACTATACTATTCACAGTAATTTAGTTCTAATTTAATTGAATCAAAAATTATAAATCTGTGTTCATTCAAATAATCAAATAAAAATGAATCTGATTTTTTATTAGAATATACTTGTTACAACTACTATAAATCACTAAAATTGCTATAAATCATTGAAATTGCTATAAATCACTAAATTGCTAATAAATATGCCCAGTGATATAGTTAAAATTATTATAGATAGGATTTATAATAAAACTGTACTTAAACCTATCAGTCTCCACCTTGAATATGATATAGAATATGTTTTTAACTGTCATTCTCAAACTGATAACTATTAGTATGAAAATATGGTTAAAATAGAAAAGTAATACGATTTTTTGTTTATTATTAGACCTCATTAAACACTCTAGTAATAGACTAATTATATAAGAAATCCTCTGTAAAAATTACTACTTTCTAAATAAGGATATAGTTTATATTATGTGTATTACCTTTTCGCTTCCTTTGGATAATTAGAATCCAAAACATTTTATATTAATGGTGAGTTATTTGAAGATTACTTCAGATATTGTAGGCTTAATATTCATAAAAGTCAAATGGCTATTTGTTTCAAATTAGAGGTCTGAATCGGTCAAAAATTTAGTATTCGATTAATCAATCGTTCATAAAATTTATAATCGATTATATTCAAATTAATCGTTGATTAATGACGATTATTCAAATTATCCAGATCATCCGAATAACCGATTAGTTGAAAGAACTAAATCTTCAATACATTAATTAAAACAAAAAAAATATATATTTCGAACTTATCTTTATTATCAACAATAATAACAAATTATATTTTACTAATTATTCCAACTATTATTTTTTGCTAATCACTATAATCAGATTAATATTTTCGTTAAATAGAGGTTGAAACTGGCTAAAATTCTTTAACCAGTTAAAAATATTCGTTAACTGGTTAAAATTAACTTATGCCAGTCCTATAAATTTGACTGGAATTAGTTAATATTTTGCAATCATAAAAATCTAAATTCTGGTCAGAAATTGAATTTCAGCCGGAGCTAAATTCATCTATTTTAACCGGTAAAAAAATCATTAACTAATTAATATATTAACTGCCTTATCCAGTTCTAATCTTTATCATCAAATGATTCTTTTAGAATTACTTCTTGTTCTAAGAAACATCATCATTGTAATTTGCATTAAACTCATTTTGTAAAACAAAATTTAAATAAAAAAATATGAAAAAAAAAATTTGAAGTTGAATGTCTTTAATTAATTTATATGTTGTATGCTTATTAAACAATGGATTCAAAATATTTGAATATCTGATTATCTGGTTATTCATTTATAGTTAGTGATAATTGATTAAATGACCGAATAATCAGTCAAAATTTTCGTCTAATCGATCATCGTAATCAGTTGGTCATATTCAGATAATTTGATTACGGATCGAACCTCTACTTCAAATGCTAGAAATTAGTAAAGATTACTGAAATAGAGCCTAGAAAGGAATATTATAGTGGCTGAAGAAGATGGGCTTATGAAGTTGAGTCTGAAGATTTGATGAAAAATCATTAGAATTACTCTTACTTTAAGGTTAAAACTGCAACTATAGCAAAAAATACTATGCCAAGTGCTTCAAATTTTAAGTTAGTTTATATTTCACCTACCAGGCAAGAAAATATTTCATTAACTTCTTATCAATCATCAAATTACTGAAGCAATACAAGCGAAATATTTATTTTATCTATATATGCAAAACAAAATAACTTAAACCATCTTAATCAGTTAAAAGGTATTATATTAAGATTGAAAAATGGAACAAAAATTACGATTGTTTAACTATTTTAACTAATATAATTTATTTTTTACATTACATAATGGATGATCACTTAGTAAAATTAGTCAAAGGCACTATGCATGATCTGCTTATTCTGTATTAGATCTTCTAATATACTGTATAACAAAATTTTTTTCAAGAAGATCAATAAAGTAATCTTGGGGATTCTTGATTCCTAAATACTATTATAATTATGACTTTGAAAATTTCTATGCCAACAGTTATCCAACAAATTTATAGGAATTACAAGAAAAAACCTGCCTTATAAAAAATTTGCATACATTTTTTCATTATTATAAATAAGTTTTATATACATTTTTTAAAATTCCATAACACATTTTTTATATTTTATAAGGAATTTTTTTAAGCATTTTTTTTATAAAAAACGATGTATAAGGAATTATTAATTAATAATATATAAAAATAATAAAAAAAATTGTATTTTATTATATTAAAAATTATAAGGTTTTACAATAAAATTATACGTTTTTTAAAAATTAATATTTTTTGATTGATTTATACTAAAAATAAAAGAATTAATAAATTTGTTATAATTTATAAAATTTGTACTATTATTATAAATAGTACTTATGCATTATAACTATGATGCCAGAAGTCTATACTCAACAATAAAATTGTAACACTTAAAAATCTTTCAAAATTTTAAAAAAATAAAATTTAAAAGAAAT